TCTCTCTCTCTCTCTCTCTCTCTCTCTCTCTCTTATCCTTCCCTGCGGTCGTACAGTGTCATCCATCTCATCATAAATCTTGATCTCATTTAATTTAAACAAACAAACAAACAAACAAACAAAACATTAATCAAACAATCGGAAAATCCAGCAATAACCATTAGAGGTGAGGGTCACCTTTCATATCAGCTAAACTTGGCAACACGGCTCGAATTTTTTTGTCACGCTCCGACTCGGAATGATTCTGTTAAATTATTATTTCTGGGTGCGCACTTTGAACCGAGCTCTCAACGAAGGTTATATAATTATATAATTTTCTCTTGCGTGCTACCCTGAGTGGGCCTCAGGATATAGCTTATGAGAGGCAGTATGGTGAAATCAGGTGCTCGCCAAGATAATGAAATCAAAGAAACTGGCATTTTTTTCTGGCCGTTGGGCATTTCAAAAAAAAAAAAAAAGAAATTCTGGCTCAACGCCTTTTATGCCCATTAAAAACACATTACTGTGTGGATTTTACTGAGACACTTAGATCAAAGGCACAATAAAAATGAATTTCCAGTTTCCAAAGACACTCGAGCTTTGGAAGTCACCAAACTTTGAGGGACATTTTCTGGCTTTTTTTACCTCTGGCACCAGACAGCCCCCACCTGCTTCCATCGCAAATATATCGTCTTCTATTTGAAATGCTTTGGAATTTTTTTTGTCGAATGCAAGACATATGAACAAGCTTTTAAATGATACTAATGACTTCATACCCCAAAAAATGACGAGCGCCTGATCCACCGCGCGTGACATAAAATGTGTATGGTATAGTTCGCAATCCCATCATTAGGTCTTTTCTTGGTCGATGGAATGCCTGCCACATGTAATACCACACACACACACACACACACACAAACACACACACACACACACACACACACACACACACACACACACTCACACACACACATAAACACACACACACTATATTTTGCTTAGATGCGGTGTGGGTTGTTGGCGGGTGCTCTGGTGTGGTTTGATTCTTCTTTCCTATCAGACGTCTATTGTCTTTATCTTCCCTCGTTCTTTTTTGTGTTTGCTACTCTCCTGTAATACCTCTAATCTTCGGCACTTATATGACCTTATTGTGTTGCAAGTGCCGTAAAACACTTACTAAAACTAAACTAAAGCTTAGATGCGGTCTTCTTTCCTATTTTTTTTTTATTGTTCGTGGTCTGCCAACCGAGGTTCTACATTTCGTACCTCGTGTGTGGTTGGCGTGTGCTCTGGTGTGGTTTGCTCGATCCTTCTTTCCTATCAAACATCTATCGACCTCATCTCTCCTGCTTCTTTTGTGTGTTTACGGAGTCTAAAACAGCCGTATGCACTGCTCACAGCCGAACACTCCGTATCCCGGACTCTAGCATGGAGATCATCAGAAGAGAATGCGTCGCTGTTTCGGGCTCTTCCTCTCTACAGCTTTTCTGAGGCACCGAGCCCCCTCACCGATGTGAGGTCTCCTCGCTAGTCTGACTGTTTTCCTCTGCTGCCAACTCAAGGATCCATTCCAGCCTGCGTTCTCTCGCTTCAACCAGATCCAGTGACTGACTTTCTCTACTGTCTCCTGAAGGGAGTTTATGAGTTCGTTACTTTTCTTTGCAGTAAGACCAGCCACTCTCATCTGGACGCTAGTTGCTCCGAAACCTCTGCATCCTACTTCTATAGGAAAGTGGGTTGCTTTCCGTCCTGCCTCCTCACATTTTCCTTCTTTTGAGTGTTTGTTACTCTTTTGTAACACCTCTAATCTTCGGCACTTATTTAACCTTATTGTGTTGCAGCTGCAGTAAAACTCTTACTAAGTGGGTAGTATGAGGGCGCCACTGGTAAGCCCTACTTCTTTACTTTTCCCTCTGTTGTTTCTGTCTGTCGGTCGGTCTTACTGTTTCCCAGCGCTAAATGACCTTTATTGCGTCGATGTGCTTCTCTTTATTCAAACAAACAAACAAACTCTTTCGAAAACTAAAATAAAACTTCGTACCTCGTACCAAAATACCCCCTCCTCGGTGTCTTCAAGGGGTACTGTTGGGGCTCTGTTGACGATGATCTCACTATATCAAATTACATATTGCATAACATACAATTTGCATTTAAGGTATTTGTGCCACTCATGCCTTGTATGGTATACTCCTGCCTGGTAGCACACACACACACACACACACACACACACACACACACACACACACACACAT